AAGGGCTTTTGGGCTTAATCTTGAAGAACGATTGGATGTGTGGATTTGTTGAGGTTGTTGATCCAAATGGCCGTTGGGGCTTGATCTTAGGATGAACGGATGATGAACGATGAACACTTTCTTCAAGGACCGTCGGGCTTGACCTTGAGTTGGTGGAAGTTCTTCAAGGGCCGTTGGGGCTTGATCTTGAAGGAGGATTTGACGAAGAACGAAGAGTGCTTTCTTGATCCTTCGAGATTTGCTTGAGAGCTTTAGAGTTTCAAAGCTTCAAGGTTTTGGTGTGACATCAATTTCCCTTCCTTTCCTTTCCTTCTTTCTTCCTCCTCCAAAATAAATGCCTTGGCTTCCTATTTATAGAATTCCAAAACTTGATTTTTGGATTTAAATAATCAGATGAAATAAATCATTTCTGCCAGGTATTGACACGTGTCATATTTGATGACTTTTCCAATTTATTTCGATTTTTCGTTGAGTCACACGGTACATGTAAAATTTGTGTGACACGTGAGCGTTGAAATTTTAATTATTGGTCAACATTCATTTCACCGAAATTTTAATGTCTACAATAACTCGTTGGGTTCATATGAAAACCGAGAAAATACTGAATAAAACCGAACCGACCGGTTCGAACCTGGTTGAGTTTCGGTTCCTGCGCAGCCCTACCCAATTACGTTAACATCGTTCGGCCCAGAAAGGAAACGACGCCGTGTTGACAGCCAGTCATTTCGTCATCAAATTTCATCTGTAGAAAGACGTGAAACAAGGAAGATTGCAGAGAGAGGGAGAGAGGAGAGAGAGATGAGCGGAGTGTCAACAGCAGCGTACGTAGCTCGTCGAGCAGCTCAGAAGGAGAAGGTTCGGATCCTCTACAGGCGAGCGCTTAGAGACACTCTCAACTGGGCCGTTCACCGCCACCTCTTCTACCCAGATGTACTCGAGCTCTCGGCCCCCTTTTACAATCTTCATTATTCAATCACAACCATCCATCAACCATTGCATGCATTCGATTTCAATCGCTTTCTGATTATTTTTTGTTTTTTCAGGCTGATGCCCTCCGCGAGAGGTTCGAAACCAACAAGCATGTGGTTGGTCTCTTCCCTTTTATTCAATTTCCCAATTTTTGTTGTTATTGTTTTTGTTTCGATTTCGATTCGTTTACTTTTGAATTTTTCACATTCAGTTTCAAATTTTGATTTGTTTGGCTTGTCTGCATTTTCTGTATTGAATAAATGTACCCTTTTGATTGCTTTGCTAATGAATAAAGGTACCCTTTTGATTGGTGGTTTGATTGTTTGATTGGTGTGGATTTACAGGAAGATCCTGACACCGTTGATAGACTCATAGCGAATGCCGAAGCCACTTACAATAAGTGGCGCCACCCCGATCCTTACATTGGTACAATCCCTTTCATAAAATGCCGATTTTACTTACAAAAATTCATTGCTTTTGCCCTCAATTGGAAAGCAAGGGAACAGCTTATATAAAATTCCAGGCATATAGGTTCTGTGTTTCTTGTTTGATGTTCTGGACCTCATTTTTTGCTGTAAGCTCTAATGTCTTTTAAGCTTTTAATATGGGTAGTAGTTTAGGGAGAGAGGATTTTGGAACTGGCATTCATTCTAGATTTGATGGGGTTTCAACCTCACCTCAAATTTTCTTAGTGCGTTTAAGGTACCTTATGCTCGAGAAATTATCTTGGATGATCAACAAACTCATCAGTGCTTAGAAAGTTATATGCGTATCTCTATGGTGGTCTATGTCTATCTCTGATTAGCTTGGTGCTCATATTAATTTTTTTTTTTTTTTTTGGAATCAATATTGTGATGCCCTATTAACATATCCCTAAAGCCATGTCCTTGTTCTCATTTGTATATTGATAAAAACTTGAATTCAGAGCTTGCTTTTGTAAATTCTAATAGGTTTGGTCTATCTTTATTTTACTTAATTAATCCATGTGTTTCCCAGATTATGTTTTTACTAATGGTTTTATATATGGTCTCATCTTCTCCTCTCTCCATCTTGTCTGTGCAGTTCCTTGGGCCCCCGGTGGTTCAAAGTTTCACCGGAATCCTACTCCACCGGCTGGGGTAATTTTATTACAACTCATTCTTTGGTTTATCATTGTGCTTTCGAGTATTACTTGTTCACATCTATTTTGAGGACATCTACATTTTTTTCAATCATTTTCTTACTTGCTTTTGATTCACTTGTTGTGTTGTGTCTTATGTTTACTTTGTGTCTAGTAAACTAGTCACGCATTTGTTTTCTAACCAGACGGCACAAGTGGAATTGGACAAGTATTCTCATATGTGACAGTCGTATAATAGCTGGCATAATTATCATTTCTAGATGAGTACTCAAAACCAAGAGTTTAATTTGTCTTGATTGACTTTTTGCTTTTATTTTTTACGTTCGATCATCATCCTTTATTTCTTTCAGGAAGATAAGAGTACTGTTATTGGCCACTCTTAAAAAATGGATCCTTGAGAGTTTACTGAGTTACCTACTAATTTGTTTTAACCGATGTTCTACCATCATTCTTTATTTCATTCAGGAAGATAGAATACTGTTATTGGTCAAGTTTAAAAGGATCCTTTAGAGCACTAATTTGTTTTCTTAATTACGATTTTTTTGGTTTAATATTACTGTTGTCAGTCTCCAACAAAATGGTGGCTTCCTATTGCCAGTAGAAAGTTATTTACTTTTAAAAAAATTTCTTGGCTTTGCATTGTTCCTGTTTATCATGCTATTCCCTCCTGGAACAATGCTGCACCCTGGAACGGGTTTAACCATGGTGGTATTTGTTGTTTAATGCAGATTGAGATAGTATACGACTATGGAAAAGAGGATAATGACTAAAATTCAAATGTTTTTCTTCACAATAAATAAAGGTGAGCAATTTAATTATATATTTGATATGTGTTATTCGTTGTGGTTTCTTTAACACTTTTCAGTGTGGATACTCAGTTCATTGGCTTTCTTGAGTTTTCACCCTTTCTTCCGAGACTCAGAATCACACTTACCTTCTTTCTAATTTTTACATGACGAGTGCCACATTTTGTCAACTCGCCATTTCTTAACAGATTAGTGACATCTTCACTAGACTGAGATTTTCCTCTTTCCTACTTCCAATAAATAAATAAATAGCTAAAGTGATTTGTGTAGTAAAAGCACAGCTTGTAGCCTCATTGTATTTTTAACAGGAAATCACAAATCGTGTGCTACCAAAACAGTCTTGTTCTTCTACCATCCACAAATTCAAAATCTTATTTTTCCACCTCTTTTAGTTCAATATGAACCAGTCTTCGCATCAATTTTATACGCCCCAATTGTGACATTGTTGATTGCAAGGGGATTATAGTCTTACACTGAAAATTTTGTTTTCTTTGTTACTCATCTTGCATCAACTCCTGCTTAATCTTGAAAAATTGAAGGAAACAAATTTGTACACAGAAAGTGAAGAGGGAGTGAAAATAGAACAAGGGAGAAAGAAAAAAAATGATATGAACCCAAAAAGAGTTAAAGCAACAGAAACAAAGAGAAGGAATAACGGGAGGGAAATTGGAAAGTAGAAGACCCTGAAATGTAATCAAGATTTTCAATAGTTCCACCAATTTGCAATTGTGTGTGCATGAAGTTGAACGTAGGCATAAGGGCTCTTGTTTGTGAAGCCCATAGTGACTACTAGTCCTTGGCAGTAGTTCTTGTGAAGTTTTGATGGCGCTAGCTTCGAGAATTAGGAAACTGATTGAGAAAGGAGACGGAGGGAGATGGAGGCAGAAAACAAAGGACTAGAGGAGGAAGGAGGGAGAGAGATTATTTCCTTAGACAAGTTTAAAAGGGGAAAAATGGATAAAGATAGTAAAGTACTTGTTTGGGTTATGTTGTTGAGTTATTTTGTGTAGCAATGTGTTTCCCATTTTAACACACATGAAGCATTACCCCGTCATGCAATGCTTTTCTTCTTATTCTTTCTAATAATAAAAATAATAATATGATGTTATATGTTGATGTCTCTTATTTTTAACGATGCAGATCAAGATGGAGAGTGACGATGATGATGATGAAGATAATTATTGATGCCAGCATCTGTGACATGTTGCTTAAGCAAATGACGGATTTAAGCTTTGAATACTTTTAAATGCTTAGTATCTCCCGTTCAAGGTGTGTTTGGTGTTTTTGTACAATGCGGCATATGCTGCAGGATCAGGATTGGATTAAGCGTGACGCTTGATATGAACAATTTTCGCCTGTTCATGTAATTTGGATTCCCTGAACTGAGTTATCACCGGTGTGCAAGTACTAGACCTGCGGTTGGAGTCATGTAGTGTGGGTGCACGAGTGCATATACGTGTTCTATGTCCACACACATGCGCTCGCGCTCGCACACACGCACATTTGTTTGATAGGGTTGGGTTCTAGGCATGCATTTCCAGTAGTGAATTTAGTGGTTTTGGTCCGTATGAACTTCCGGATCTGGAATTCGCCTTTAGAAAAATGCAAAATAAAATGCCGAGGCAGCGGTCTGTCATTTTGAAATCGGTCTCTTCGTTAGAAAAATCTCGTTGCACATAGGCGCGTAGAGGTACGACTTTGGACCTCATTTGGTATGTGTCTCTTCGATTGAACGAGTTCAGTCTCATCATTGTCAAGTTCATCGACCCTGGGCTAAGGCACTTGTTCATTTTAAACTACTTTTCCGGTCGTCGTCCGCCCACCCGAAACGCCCACGAGACCGAGGAGTGTTGCTGCTGATCATAAGCTTGTACTCGACTTCCACTAATTATGACTAATCAGCATCATTACACTATTGAATTTGAAGGGTGACTAGGACATGATGTTATAATTAATATTTGACATTACCTTCTGTTTTAATTAATATTGAAATAACTTTGAAATTGGCATGGAAAACAATAACTCAAAATTTGAAGATGAGACGTCTCAATTTCAATTTCAAAGTGCTATCATTGTGGAAAACGTAATTAAATTGTTAAGTCTCCTAATACAGTCTCTTTCCTTTAATGGTGAAATTTGGCACACAATCCTAATATGTTATTTTCTTTCTTTTCATTATTAATGACTCGTGTTTACTGACAATCATCAATAGCAAGTGGTGGATCATTGTGACAGATAAAGTATACCCGTATTCTTCTTCAACTCATTGCATCTCCGTTCTAACTCTCCCATGATATCGGCCAATCAAAACAAAGCCAAGAGGGAACAGAGTATTTTACTCATAAATTGGGTGATAATTCATGGTTAATTACCACCATCTCTTTCATGTTTGTTTAATTTTGAATTAAGTGATGACCCAACTAACTTAAATCAGATAATTTCCCCCCACTTATCTCGGCTGACCCATAAACAAAAAACCCACTACAGTTTCTCAGTGCCAAAACCATTTCTTCAGTTTCTTCTCTGTTTTTCTTCTCCTCTCTTCCAACTCCGTCCCGCGGCTGAAGATGGAGGAAGAAGGCATAAGAGCCTTCCGCTGGAAGTTCAGAGGAGATGCCAAGACCCGATGTGCAAGATTGTTTTCTGTGTTGACGTCTCTTGTCATGGTAGTTCTGTTCCTGTGGACCATTTGGTCCGAATCTGGAGTTGCAGACACGCCGGGGATAAAGCGGGAGTCGAACAATTGGGCATTCTGCGTCGGAGTTCTGACTATAGTTCTCGGTTTCTTGTTTTTGGCTGCTGGTCTTCCTTTACTTGCAAACTTGGTTATGAAACTCTCAGAACAATTGCAGAAGAAGCAGGAGGAGATCAGGAAGCCTCAAGCTCAAGGTAATGCAACCAACACCGAAAACGAGAATTTAATACAAAGCAGCAGGTGTTAGTTTCAGGCTAGGAGGAAACTTACACAACGGTTTCACACACCCACTCTCCTCACTCTCCTCACTCTCTCTCATCATATGATGAGAGAGATGATGAGAGAGAGCCTAGAGGAGGGGCGGGGGTGTATGAAACCGGGATAGTTAAATTAACGCCTTCTAAACTAATTAATGAAATTTCATTCATCTGAACTTCTCATCTTACTCGATTCCTAATGATGCAGCAGGGAAGCTGAAGACGATATGCATCGTCAGCCGCATGGTTGTGAGTATCATCGCAATGATCATGCTGGCATGGGCAATCAACGCTGGATTTAGGCTTGCAACTGAACCTAGAAGAGAAGGCAAATATTATCCTCTAGCATCCCCAGTTGGTGTCGTGACTATCATGTTTGGCTTCACTTATTCTATCATCGGACTCTGCATAATTGCAGAGCTAGCAGTGGAGTTGAGAAAGCAGTTGCAAACGACAGAGAAAAATGAAAATGTTAATCAACAAGTAGGCAAAATAAACGTCAAATTTTCTGTTTGACACTGCTATAATACACCACACCATGTGTAAATAACATTATATTTTCTGATTTAAGCTGCGATTATGGCTCCAGGGCATCAGCTAGAAAGATGGAAAGGATTTTCTTTTTTTTTTTTTTTTTTTTTTTTCAGAAGAAACTATAACATTTTATTAAAATAGAAAAGTGGAGTTACACCGAAGTGGATAAGAAATCCACCAAGAACAAAACAAGAAAATCTCTCAAGAGGATCTGATTCCAAGTAGCAAAAACTCAACCAAAATCACTTTACTGTTGCTAACATATCCCACAATATGTGAGAAGAGAGTAATTCTTAAAATCATTTGAAACTGAAGCCCAGAGGACTGCCCAATATCTTACTCTTGCCCATGGATCTGCTACCCCCACACCAGAATAATCCTCAAAAATTCCTTTGTTACGCTCCAACCAAATGTTCCAAAAAACTCCCGACACCAGACAACCCCACAAAGCTTTAGCCTTCCTCCCAATTCCTAGAGCCTCAAAATTGGTACTTAGAAGCTCGAAACAACCCTTTGGAATGACCTAACTAACTCTAACCTCCTGAAACAATTTCCACCACAGTTGAATCGTGTAAGAACAATGGAGAAAAATGTGGTTAACACTCTCCTCCTTAGCTTTACACAAACTGCACTAATGGGGAGAGAAACAAATAAAAGGGCTTCTCCTTTGAATTTGATCACAAGTGTTGAGTTTCCCATTAGCCACTAGCCACACAAGAATTTTGACCTTAGGAGGAACTTTTGATTTCCAAATTTGAGAAGAGGGTGGAAAATGTTGCACAATCCCGTTGTTGCTCAAGAAAGAGCGATAGGATTTGCAAGTGAACAATCCTGATAAGTCCAGTTTCCACCTTCTGTTATCCACTCTTGATTGAGACAAGCAAACATTTTCCACATTTTGTAATAATCTAGCCGCCTCTTCTATCTCCACCTCATTCAGATTTCTCCTAAAATCAAAATTCCAGCTCACAGAATTGCTAGAAAGATCCACAAAACTTGAGATGTTCTGGTTGTGCACAAAACTTGAGACGGAAAGGATTTTGGTACCAGATGCTCTATCAATCATGTGCTATTATTTAGTTCCCTACCAATTTATGAACCACCCGGCAATCTACAATCGGCACTCCAAAAACCTAAGTTACCTATAAGGTTTGCCCTCCATGTCTAGCAAGAGTCAAAATGATTTGGGGATAGGCATGAAGTCACTAGCTTTCAATCAAAGTTAGCATTATACATCACTTAGCAACATTTATCTAGCTAATTGACTCAACGATTAGGAATAATACCGAGGCAACTAAGCTCTACCATAACCACTATTATCCGTACATAATCATACCAATGCTTGGAATAATACCAAAGGCAAGCAGCTAGTGTCACAAACTGAACTGCAATGTGTTTCCACTCTGCGCACAAACTGAATATCATAACTCATGACGCCTATTCCTATGCATAAAGCATTTTGAAGTAAACAGTTGGTGTCCATCTTATAAAAAGCACAAACCCTCCTTGTATGCTACACTCACATTGCACCCACCAGAACTCTAATGTACCTACCTAGTTCAATATTTCCGTTTAGCATTGCACTCATCTCTTTTTGTCAGTTCCACTCCAACAAAATTGCTTCGATATACTTCACTGTATGCAGATCAAATCCCTACTACATCAGCAATCACCATTTTCATTCTTAACCCCAATAAGAATGAATAGCACAGTTAAACACCATAAGTCCCGACATTTCCATTCTAAGTAGGTCGAGCGACACCTAATCCAATCTAAACTACGGGAAGGGGGATACGAGCACACACGCTCATGTCTATCAATTGTTATTAGTTCTCAATCAAAATTTCAAATTTTACCATGCATTTTGTGGTTTTAGACAACAAAATTACAAGACCAAGAGACCCATCAAACAATCAAATCAACAATCGAAACATATATACCAGAAATATGCATTGCCTTAAAATAAAAATGTCTCCATTTGATAACAAGGTATGACATAAACACTTAAAACCCTAAAAACTAGGGAGTTCCACATTACATATATGGAGCTAAAACCCCTTAGAGAAAAGAGAGTGAAAAATTGAAAAATTCAGATGAGCTTGAAAGGGAGAGGCCAAGGGGTGGACCTGGGGACCTCAACCTTGTCCTTAATGCGCTCGATCCTCTTCTCCTTCTTCGGCCGAGCGTTTCCGAACGACCCTTTGAATCGCTTCCCCTTCTTCGTCTTCTTGTCTCCTCGCCCGCACAGCATCGGCGCCCCAAGCACATTTGCTTTTGCAATTGCTGCTGCTGCCGAGGAGGAAGAAGAGGAGGTTGTGAAGATGGCGCGCTGCTCCGCCATCAGCACCCGCCTCGCCGCTGCGCCGCACCACCGCATCATCATCGCCATTTCTTCCACTTCATTCACCACTATTCTCTCTGACTATTCAGAGCTGCTGTTATCAAATATTTTAGTTTTTAAGTAGGCTTCCGTTGTTCGGTTGTTTTGTGCCCGGATTGGATATAAAGCCCAAATCCATTGTGTTCTAATAATATTACTAAGGGTTAATCTCAGCTTAGTATCTTGAAGTTTTTTAGTTTTCAACATTTAATACATAAAGTTTTTTTTCATTTCAGAAATGTATTTAAAGTTATAATTTTAGGACAGTCTCATATATCCGTTAAATTTCCATTAGAACCTCTGTTAACTGATGATGTGATATCGATATGGACAATGAATGAATGTCACGTGTCAGCATGGGTCCACATGAATATTAAAAAAAATTAAAAACTAAAACAATTTTAAATTTTAAAAACTAAAAAACCAATTTGGGTTCATCTCTCTGTTTCTTCTTCCCCACCCAACATAAAAAATCACGATCCTTCCTCTTCCTCCGCCTCTCCCCCTCCCCTTACTCCTTCGCCGGCACCACTCCCCTCCCAGCTTTCTTTTCTCCCTCCCATCCAATCCAGTGACCAACCCCTCTTTTTTGTTCTCCCTCTATGCTCTCGCTTTCAATTCTTCTTCTCTACACGAAGACACCTAAAGCTTGCAGGTACTATCCCTGTCCTCCTCAATCTGTCTCTCTCTACCTCTGTGATTTTTAATTTTTTTTCCTTCCATTTTTTGTGAATTTGAAGGAAGTTCAAAATCCAATCTCCGCCAACAACAATTGGATTTGCAAGATGTCAGGGTCTCCAGGCTAGATGTGGGTAGGGGTCCGATTCGGGAGCATCCAATGGTACGAATTTCGGGTCGGATTCGGGAAGATCCACGTTGGCATCGGATTTCAAGCGAAGGTTTGGAGGCCTTGACAGGATCCAGAGGGGGAGGGTAGAGATATGCGGCCTTGGGCTTGGTGTGTTGGAGGATTAGGCTCCATGAATAACTTCATGCGACGATGTCTCTTGGCTAAGGTTGGGTTTTGGAGTGTGGAGGATGGGGTTAGGTTTTGGGATGAGGAGGATGAAGGTTTGGAGCAGGAGGTTGCTGGGGATTTGCAATGGTGAAGACGGAGATGGGGTTGCTGGGGATTTGCAACGTGGTTCGAAATGGGAATGGGAAAAAACCTTAGTTTTTATTTATTTATTTATTTTTAGTTTTTTATTATTTTTTTAGTTTTATTTTTTTTTATGTCCAAGTGGGGCTAGCTTGAATTTTTAATTTCCATGTGGACGTCTTAATGACACGTGGCGCTTAGTCATTGTTCACATGGGTGCCACTTCAATTAACGAAAGACTTAACAGTCTGACTAACGGATACATAAGACTATCTCAAAATTAACACTTTAGGTATGGCTCTGGGACGAAAAAAACTTCATATACCAAATGTTGAAAACTACGAAACTTGAGGATAGTAAACTGAGATTTACCTTATTACTAATTACTATAAAAAAATAAAACAAAAATAAAATAAAAATAGAGAAGAGAGAATATTACTAGAAAAATGGGTGATGCAAACCACATTAGAGAATTATCTCCCTTTTTTCTTTCTCTTTTTGTAATTTGAAATTGTATAACAAAAAATCTATGCCAAATTCTTTAAACAACCTGTAAACTTTTAAGGCTATCTTTAATAGGCTGAATAATTTAGAGTCAAAAGTTATATTTGACTCTAAAATCGACATAATTGTTCGGTTAAAAGTAAGATTCTCATTGAATTACACAAAATATAATTATCATTTCAAAAAGTGATGACCAACTTTGTAGATGCATAAAATCGGATTGATCTTGGACTAACTAAATCCGACCGTAAATCACATATACGTACAAGAACACAACGATATATAGTGGTTCATCTCAAGTGGGGGCTATGGCCACACTGGTGTCGATCCAGTTTCATTATATAAAATGAGAGTTACATTGTATATGGAGGTTTGTTGCTAGAGAGGCTAGGTTTGTCATCCTCCTAAAGTGAGGGTGAAGGTTTCCTTTTATAGACTAAGAGTTTCCCTCCTCTCATGCATACATCATGGGCTATGTAATGAGGCCCAAAGATTGAGACCCCATATATGGTACAACAAAGAGTCCCCCAAGTCTTCACTCAAGAGAGTTTTTTGGCTAAAGACTTCAAATCCAATCCATGTGCAGGCCGAACTCAGCATGAGGGGGTGCTCAACGTGAAGCAATACTCGGCAAAAAGTAGAACACATTGCGAGGCTACTCGACTAGAGGCAGTGCTTGTGGCGAGGCTGTTGCGAGGTTGGAGGCTATGCTCGTTACTAGACACGTGGTGGCGTTCTTCGTTGCGAGTATACACTTGCATCATTGTGCACTCACGATGAGTTGATTCTTGACATAAGCCAGATCCGCTTGTCGAGTTCACATATTGGTTCTATGTGTGGGTCCACAAGTTAGGTCCACACGTCAGGTCTTTAAGTCGGGGCCATACCTATGGTCTTTGAGTTGGGTCCACAAGTTAGGTTCGTGAGTCGAGGTCCAAGCTTAAGGGTGTCTGAGCTTGTGGGTTTTCAATCTTGTAAGTGCTCGAACGAATGGGTGTCCGAGCTTGCGAGTGTCCG